TGTCGTTTGCGATGAGCCAAAGATTTTCATCATTTGAATCGTTTTCTTTCAATTCAACAATTTTTTGCTTAAGAGTCTCAAACCATTTCTCGGGATTACTATTGATTTCGACAATATTCTCCTTTTTGGGTACTTTTGGTTCAGAAAATACTTTCCTGAAGAGCACAGCCATGGATCCAATTGTATCTAATTTGCGGCCAATTGTATTGAATCCAACGCTTTGTGCGATTTTCACGAAATCAACGATACGTTTCTCCAAATCTGAATTCTTTAGATCCTTTTTGCCATTCATTTGATTTAATGCCAGCTCTGGTACTGTCAACTGATACCTGAAAACTGAAACCAAAAATCCTTTGTCTGAAATAACATCGTAAATCTCCTGCAATTGTTTCTTTGTATTAATGTCCCATAAATCGTATGAGTCTTTCAGAAGTATAAGATTTGCTGAATTGATATCATTGGGAAAGACACTGTTCTTGTGGTTCCATTCAATGAGTTTAAACGATTGGTTTTTGTAGTTATCGCTTATTGTAGCGATTGTTTTGACAGCAATGGTGTAATTGACATCAATTGGGTAGATGTGAGAAGAGGCCAATTGACTGTCGACCTCTTTAGCCAGCAATCTATTCGTTAAATTGATTTCCAAGACTTTGATCTCTTTTTTAGGGACTAAACATTCGCTCACAATATCGACGAGAGAGCGAATCAAATGTTCATTCTTTGAGACCTCGTTAATGACATCCAAAGACATATCATATTCGGGATTGTTTTGAAGATCAGTACAGATTTTGTTTGTATTTATGTTTCTATTCTCATCAATACATCCCTTATAGACTTGATTAAGAATTTTGAGTAACATGTGATTTTCTTTCATGTCTTTCAAGTATTTATTAACCAATTCATCGGTTATAGTTGTGTCCACTTTATTATTATTTGAATCCATCACTTGTTTTATTTTATCCGCAAGTGATGAACAAACCTATTAATAATAACACAATTATTTTTATAATAACAGTGTACAAGCACATTTATACAAACCTTGACATATTCTTTAACCATTTTCTTATCGCACTCTTCAATGGCATTACTCTCTTCATTGGCCACGAATTGATACGATTCTAGTTTCAAGTCTTGGATATTAGACTTACGGGGAATGGGAAGTGCCATCAATTCCTCCACTTCTACACCACACGTGACAATCATTCTGGAGTTCATATCGACATAATATGGCAAAACAGACGGATAGACGTGATATTCTTTGCCAAACAGCTCTTCGATGTATTCGACACTATTTGTGGACAGAATTCCCTCGACTTCCGACTCGTCATTCTTACCGCCGCTTAACATAAGCTCATCGATCCTATCCTCGGATACTTCATCCGACAAATCCTTCTGTTCGGCCACTTTATGAGAGGCCACCCCTTCGTACAGAGCTTTTGGGTCACATTTAAGGGACTTAATCATCACCGGAACCATCATTTTTCTGAAAGGCATGGCAGCGGCCATTGTTTGCAACAGAGAGTCCATGAATGTGATCCAATTGCCATCCCAACTGATCTCTCCCTGAATTGTCTCAAAGTCATTGGTTTTAACGGATTTTATTCGTCTAAACTTCGGGCCGTAATCATAGCCAAGAACTTTCAAATCCTTGTAGAGATCACTAGTCGTGAGATTGACTTCAAACTTCTCATTG